AAGCAAGTATCAGATAAAACAGGTCAGATGTAGAGCAGCTTAGCTATTTAGTCTATTTCTATGATAAATTAAGGGTTAATCCAATAAATTCCTCTCCATACGATAACTCTGACGGCCAAAGGTCCAAAGGCAAACCCCAGTGGGAGTAACCGGTTCGATCCCCACAGACTGACACTCTGGGTCCCTGAGCAAGACCCTTAACCCCACTCTGCTCCCCAGGCGCCGCACAATGGCAGCCCACTGCTCCCCAAGGGGAGGGTTTAAATGCAGAGAGGGAATTTTGTTGCCTTGTTCTTCTGACAAAGTGACAACACTGGAAAAATTATCTAGAAATAAGTAAAAATTTCTTAAATTAAGTGTATTCACCCTTAATTTGAGTAGGTAAATGAAATTATTTGCCAATGGAATTAGTATTTTTACTCTTAGAATAAGATATTTAGATAAAATGCACTTGAAATAAGACAATATAATTGTGTTTTCTTACTTTAAATGTAAATTGTCTTGTTCCAATGGCAAAATGTCTCTTTAACCTTCTCAATTTAAGAACAAATGACTTCTATAGATTTTGATTTTTTCCGGTGAATAAAGTTGGAATTCTGTTCTATTCTATTAAATGTTCCCCAAAAACACTGAACCCAAGCATGAGAATAAATTAATCGGCATGTGATTACTTTTAAAAGGCAAAGACCTCCAAGTCAGTCTTGTTATGAAGTCAAAGCAATAAATTAGATCAGGGGTCATCAACGTTTTCGAGGCTAAGGACCCCAAACTGATGGCGAGATGGAGCAGGGACCCCCTAATTATATATATTCTATAAAATAGTGTTCTATCAAACTGGTCCTATAGTCACTCTATTACAGATGGAGTAATGTAACTAAAGTAATCCCTCCCCGGGATTTTAAAGTATTTCTGATTCCTGGTTGATGGGACAGGTGTTGTGAGTGAAACGGTGTCCAGATTGAAAGAGCTCCTGTGTGTCTCTGAATGTGAGCATTGATGACTGACAGACATCTTCTGCCTCCATTTATCTGTTTACTACAGTCTGTTGAAGTCATGTTAATGTGGATTTAAAGACATTTCAGTTAGTGGAAAAAACAGCAGGTGGGAATATAAAAAAAGTTTAATCAACCAAAACTTTCACAACCCCCATGCAGTACCTCTGTAGCCCCCTAGGGGCTGCTGACCTCATGTTGAAGACCTCAAAATTACAGCAAAAACTAAATTTTAGTTTTAGACATAAAGCTCAACCAATGTAGAGACTTTATCAAGCATTAATGTTATAGTTAGAGGAGATATACGGTGGCTGAGAAGTGCAAAACACATTTACAATACAAAAACACATTAACAAATAAAAAACAAAATAAAATTTGAAGAAACAAAATTATATTTTATGAAACAAATGTATTTTTGAAAAAAAAGTTAAAATTTTTAAAAACAAATTTACATTTTAGGAAACAAATTCACATTTTAAATAAGTTAGATTTTAGGTGAGAGAAAGTTTCATTTTAGAGAAAAAAAAAAAACATTATAGGGAAACAAATTTACATCTAAAAAAAACTGACCGTTCGGAAACACTTGTACAAGTGCAAAGACAAAACTGCAAGTGGCAAAACACAGTTACATAGCCAAAAACAAATTAACAAAAGACGGCTACACGGATAGGGAATGTCCCAGTGGCCGGATGTGACGTCACCATTACCCTGACTTGTAGTACAAACAGCTCAATCTGTAGTCCTCCTGCTTCACGTGAAAAGACAGCGGCGATTTTATTATTGTGGAGCAAATTTCAGCCAATTTACACCATTTTGTTCTTCGTGCGGACGGTCTCTGGAACTTTTACGGGACACGGACCAGGTGGCAGGACCACCGGAACTGCTGCAACGCAGCCACTGCCACGAATTGAGCTCGGCCCTGCTGCTTGGTCCTGCCACCTGGTCCGTGTCCCGTAAAAGTTCCAGAGACCACAATAAGGGCAAAACATTGTTCGGTTAGCGTAAACTTAAGAAAAACAGCTTCAGTGCAATTCTTTCCATCTAAAATCGCTGCTGACTTTTCACGTGAAGCAGGAGGACTACAGATTGAGCTGTTTGTACTACAAGTCAGGGTAATGGTGACGTCACATCCGGCCACTGGGACATTCCCTATCCGTGTAGCCGTCTTTTGTTCATTTGTTTTTGGCTATGTAACTGTGTTTTGCCACTTGCAGTTTTGTCTTTGCACTTGTACAAGTGTTTCCGAACGGTCAGTTTTTTTTAGATGTAAATTTGTTTCCCTATAATGTTTTTTTTTTTTCTCTAAAATGAAACTTTCTCTCACCTAAAATCTAACTTATTTAAAATGTGAATTTGTTTCCTAAAATGTAAATTTGTTTTTAAAAATTTTAACTTTTTTTTCAAAAATACATTTGTTTCATAAAATATAATTTTGTTTCTTCAAATGTTATTTTGTTTTTTATTTGTTAATGTGTTTTTGTATTGTAAATGTGTTTTGCACTTCTCAGCCACCGTAGATATAAGTGGGAGCCATCAAACCAACAAAGGTAACGGGAAAAAAATATTGTAAAGTTTATTAAATATTGTTAAAACACTTTACAGTATTTTATTGTTTATCTTTTAACTCTTCACTATTATGTTATTCTTATACATTGTTCTAAGGTCCACATTTGTGTGACCATTTTTTTTATTTTTTTATAATCTTTTTGCTGCTTTAAAAAGCAGAACTTCCCCACTGAGGGACAATAAAGGGATTTTCTATTGACAGCTTTCCAGAAGCATCCTTAGACTTCTATCTAAACGGGACATCTTTATTACAGTTTCCTAATTATCTATACGCTTTAATTTGCTTAAACCTTTAGAGCCTGAACCCTGAAATCAGACACAAATTTCTAATTTTTGAAATTAAGAATCGTCATTTAACTTTCTGACAAATGAGATTAAAAAAAAAAAAACATTTTGTTTAAGGTTAATTAGATCATTTATTTGGATCCATTTTGTTGCAGGTATTTCTGTATAATATTTTATAAATTTTCTGTTCCCTGCATGTGTCTGATTGTGTAGCTCAGGGTTTCAAGAACAAAAAGAGTTAATTTTACTATTGGATGAGGAGAACAGAGAGAAGAGAGAGAAGAGCAGCAGATCAGCCACTAAACCTAAAGTTTCCTCTAAATAAATCAAATAAATGCCGTTTTCTGCTTTGCTTGTCGTTATTTGGCAAAAGCTGATGCATTGCTGACTGATGGAGGCAGTAGTTGGAAAAAGGCCCTGAGCAAATTTAACAAACGGTGGAATGTATCCTTCTGGGCCAGACGGCTCTCTGGGTGCTGGGCCCCCCTAAACCTGTGATCCTGGATCCGCCCCTGTGTGGACGCCTGCTGTTTCTTCTAATGATCCGTGGAAAACGTGGAACACGCTCGCCTGGGAGGAGTCTATGAGAAGACAGGCTGTTAGAAGCGCACTAAAAAAGAAGCGTGACGTGCCGCTAACTGCCTTTATTTAAACAGAAGCATAAAACAAACAGGTTGACAGGAAATCATAGAACAACGTTAAACGTTCAAAGCTCACATTTCTGGAAATTCACGCTCTGCTTTCAGCTAAACGACAGAGAAATGTTCTAAACTGTGATTCTTTGGGGACTGCAGCTCTGCGACGCCACAGAGCGTATCCTGCAGCACCGAGAGGGGCTGTGAGGCGAGGTGTCACGGTGGGCTCCACCCACAATGACCTCCCAGCGTTTCTCACAGCAGACGCCACATCAGTTAACACAATAAAAAGCAGAATGCACTTCTTCCTGCCTCTGGGCAGAGAACTACTGCAGCAGCAGAGGTTCATTAAACACCTAAAATAACTCTGATGAAGAGCGAGAGCGTCTCACCGCTCTGGAAACATCCGCCGCCAGAATAACGGAGCCTGATTGGAGGATTTAGGAGAGATAAACTTCATATAATAATGGCTTTACATTTCAAAATGATCTACTTAAATAAAATTAATACTCTATCCTCCTCTGGTAGCTCATCTGAACACAGCAGAGAAACATTGATTTATATTTTTGCATCACTGTTAATTTTTTATTACTTATGTTGATAGTTTACATTTTGTTCCATTATTGTTGAAAACAAAAACAGTTTTTTAAAAGTAGATTTGAAGACAGAACACCCTGGAAGTGACACTTCACTATCAAAATTATTATTTTTATACATTTTATATTTAAAATTTTTGTTTTTTCAAACTTTATATTTTCAAATTTGATAGTGTTTACACTTTTAAATGTTCAGTTTTTACACATTACTTTTTTTTTCAAAAGGAAATTTAAATAAAGAAATCTGAAAAACTGAACAGTTGAATTGAAAATATGCAAAAAAATGTTTAAAGACAAAATAAAATAAAAGAGAAAATGATAGAATAAGAAAAAAAGTTTAATTTCTAGTAAAAAGAAAATTTGAAAAAATTTAATTAAAAAAATAAAAGAAAAAAATGTATAAAATAAAAGTTAAATATCTGGATTGTGTTTCTTTTTTCTTTTTTTTTCCATTGAAAAAAATCTGTTCTTTGCAACAATAATGGATCAAACTGCACTCCATACACATGGAACACAGGACTGACTACAGAGATCCTGATTGGAATCACCAGCTGCAAACATTTTTCTCAGCTTTTCTCTGAAAGCTTCCCCTTAAAGTAAGATACTGACTGCGCACAAACGCTCAACAGAAACCCCGGAAAGAGAAACAACAAAAAGAGGAACTGTCCCTTTAAACTACTGGATTTCAGCCCAGTGGAAATTAACCGCAAACCTGAGAGTAAATAAAATAAAATGATTATTTAAGAAAATATGAATTTAAGACATAAAGAAGTGACTTTAAAAGCTGCAGCGGTGTTGGTGCTGAAGCTGCGGGGCTGCAGGCTGATTCCTGACACCCAGCATGTTTCCATCTCCAAACAAAACACGAAGGCTGCAGACAAAAGGCGCGAGGCGGAGCCCCGATGCGCAAATTACGCACGATTTACCTGAGCGGCTGCTGGAGATTACGAGCAGGTGTTGGATTCTGCCCCTTCTTCTTCTTCTTCTTCTTGCTCGGATGATGATGATGAGGATGATGCTTCTTCTTCTGCTCTCCTCCTCCTGTGGTCCTCCTCAGCTTCCTCCCCCCCTCACCCCTCCCCTCTCTGTGAACGTGGCGCGTGCGCTGGATTCATTACTGCAGTCACTGCCTGCAGCTGATTGGCTGACGGCTTCATTAAGAAATTCAAAATATATTTTGTCACCTTAAAACCATAAAATCTCAATATTTTTGGAGGATTTTTATGTAATAAGGAAAAATAACTTTAAAATCTGAGCTGAGTCATGTTCTGTATCCTCTATATCTATATTCTGCAGAAACACATTTGAGAGTAGATCAGTTTATGTCCAAATCAGACAGATTCTTCTTCTTTCTATTTGTTAGAAATCATATATCTGTACTTTGACTAGGCCATTCTCTGCCATGAATCTCTATCTCTCTTCCTTCTTACCTACATCATCATGCTATATATATTCTAAAAAAAAATTGAGACACAAGCAGTGAACAGAAAATCTGTAATAAACTGTCTGATGAACCACAAATGATTTGATTCGATTCTTTTTCTCATAACTGTCATATCTAATAAAAATAAATAAATATTTTTTTTGAGATATTTTTCTTTATAGTTTAGGCTTTAAAGGGCTAAGATTTTACTGAATAGATCTGATTTATTTTAGTAACTTCTTTAAATAAAATAGATTAGCTGCAGAGTTACTTTATTGATCCCAAAAAAAATACAAATAAATTCTGTTAAATCTGCTTCCAACAAATTAAAACAATAAAAATTACAATATTGTGTCCAACCAGTAGATAAAAAGAAAAAAAAACATCTTTTATCAAAATGTATTTTAATCTGACAACCAATATTTAATCTCATTATGTATTAGATTAAATGCATTAATCTCACATATTGAATATGATTTTATAAAAATGATTATTACCTCTTAGTGAAGCTCGGTGGTGAATATATTGTACGAAACAGCTGGACAGTATGGAGTAAAAATTGTTCCATTATTCTTGCAAGCATAAAACACATATGTAAATGGTGATTTGAGGAAAAATACGATCCAGAAATGAACTTTTAATCAAAAAAGGGTTTTAAATGGAACTTTGCATTTTTGTCAGATTTTTCATTAAAAAAAAATCAAGATTCTTTCCTTTTTCAAAATACTATTTTTAAGATTGAGTTTCACTGATTTCATTCTTTTCCAATTGCATTTCACAGATCAAATTATCTTTACTTCCAACCCAATTCCAGCCGTTGTTATAACGTCCAGCAGACCAATAGAAATGCGTATTTGCTTCTGACTCCAGAGGAAAGCCCCGCCCCCAGAGGTGAAGAGAATGGGCTCCCTACAATGCAATTTTAAAGGAATGTAGTTTGAAAAGCTAAATAACAGAAATAAAAAAAACTAAAATTGTGAAAATATTCTCTAAAAGCTGCATTTGAAAAAGCAAAATTAAAAAAAGTGAAATAATAATAATATAAAAAAACTGATAAAAAAGCAAGTGAAAACCTTTTTTGAGTAAAATATTTAAATATAGTTTAAATTCTGGTTAATTGGGTTTTTTTCAGTTTGTTAAATATTTTCTTATCTTGCAACAAATAATGGAAAAAAGTTCACTCCATAGATTATGTTAATATCTGTAAACTGAGCCAAAAGGAGAGTAATCATCACGGACGCCTCATGATTAGGAGGTTAGGAGAGCGACTGAGGAATGTCTAATTATGACTAAAGTATTAGAAATAAAAACCTGGATTTAAGGATGTTGAATGAAGGATTTCAGCCTTTTTACTTTTCTGTTGCCCTTTAGATGGTGACATTTTTATTTCCATAGTTTTAGTTGCTTTATCTGTGTTGCTCTGTTTGCCTTCAATGTTGGCATTGAGAGTTTTACCGTAGTGAGCAAATAGAGCTAATTTTAAACCTTTTCAGTTCTTTCTTTTGTAGATGGCTTTTGGACGAAAAGTTTGAACTGTTAGGCAGTGAGATAGGGAAGAGTCTAGAAATATAGATTTTCCATAAAGCTTTTTATTCCATGCTGACGAGCAGAAAAGGCCAAAATCATCTTCAATCAAACTTCATTCTCATTGAGTGAAGCTATTATCCTCCAGAGTCAGAGGCCCTCCATCTTGGTCTGCAGCCAAACGCCTGTGACTCAGTAGAATCAACGGCGAGGCTGCGAAGGAAAGCGACTCCTATTTAATCAACCTGCTAACGCTAAGCTGAGGGACGGAAAGCTGGAGTCAGGCAGAGGAGATCTTCTCAGCCCCCCAGGGAAAGATCAGCCGGGGGAACCACACAGCAAAAGCCACGTCGAGCACAAGACAGGAAGTCGCTGCTTAGGCTGCTTAATGTCAGTGGATATTTACTGCTGCCGGGTGGGCTGGTACGTCCTGCAGGGCACAGCTGCACTTCCTGTAGGGAAAGCTCCGTCTTAATGGGCTGCTGAGGCATAATGAAGCAGAACAGGTGGATAAATGGATGCAGTGGACACAGCAGCCACATCTATTTCCCCTCTGGGAACTGTCAGTTTGTAATATCATCTACCAACACAACCATTAGTCATTCTTTATATGAATGAGTCAGCAGGGAGTAAGTAGCATCCAATAAACTCAATTACAGCCCAAAGGGAAAGTATGCGCTCCCTTTTCTATCTCCTATCTAAAACTAAACGATTTAATGCAAAAGGAAAAACTTCAGTTTACTGAATTTTAGGCAATTTAATTAAATCCAACACTTCTGGTTTTCTAGACGTTGATAAAAATCTTCAATTTGGTCGCTATTAATTTATAATCCCACTGAAAATATTAATAAAACCCAGTGAAATCTGAGGATGTGATGCTAAAAAGGTCCAGCGTGTTTAAACGTCTGCTGGTTCTGGTTCCTCTCGTTTTACACTTGATGTTAAAGGAATAGTACACCCAAAACATGATTAGCCTTCATTTTCTACTCACCCCCATGCTGAACAACACTCTGGAGTACTTTTTTGATATCTCAAATGCATCTGGAGATCTGGGAGGCTTCTTGCTGTCTGCTGACATTCAAATAATGGAGGTCTATGGCGCCCGAGGCAGAAAGGTCCATAAAAGTCCACAAAAAACGTGTCAATATTCCTCCATACTGCTCGTCCAATGTATTCCAAGTGTCCTGAGTGGGTAGCATCCAGAATTTACTCGAAACGAAGTCATTTAGAATGTTTTTAGAGCATAAACAGTAGTGTATAGGATTTCCTAAAAGCGCGTTCACGAGTCTACGGAAACCGCGGCAGACCAAACCAGATGAAAGTGCGCATTCAGCGTCTGCTCTGCCGATAATGCAAGCGTAGAAGAAATGTGCTGTTTACCTGTGCAAAGAAAGAAACTACGAAAGAAAAATGTCTGAGGACTTCAGTGTTGAGGAAGAGCATGAGTTCTTTGCCGAGCTGAATGCGCACTTTCATCTGGTTTGGTCTGCCGCGGTTTCCGTAGACTCGTGAACGCGCTTTTAGGAAATCCTATACACTACTGTTTATGCTCTAAAAACATTCTAAATGACTTCGTTTCGAGTAAATTATGGACGCTACCCACTCAGGACACTTGGAATACATTGGACGAGCAGTATGGAGGAATATTGACACGTTTTTTGTGGACTTTTATGGACCTTTCTGCCTCGGGCGCCATAGACCTCCATTATTTGAATGTCAGCAGACAGCAAGAAGCCTCCCAGATCTCCAGATGCATTTGAGATATCAAAAAAGTACTCCAGAGTGTTGTTCAGCATGGGGGTGAGTAGAAAATGAAGGCTAATCATGTTTTGGGTGTACTATTCCTTTAAAGATAAAACTCAGAAACAGGATTATGGTGGAATCAACTTTATTGGAAACATGAATTAGTTAAAACCAAACAACCAGTTTAAAAAGAAATCCTTCAATCACTTCATTTTATATGATCAAAATGTAAAAGAGACAAAAAAAAAAGAGAAAAATCAAGAATTTATTTTCTTCCGGTGTGCTTATGTGTATAACGTGTCTTAAAAAAAAAACGTTTGCATAAAGCGTGTATTGGACGACTTCTGGAAACGTTTTATTTCAAAATGAACCGAATAACTTTAATTTGGAAATAATTTCTTAAGCAACCTTCAAAGCTGAAAAACAGAAAAAGATCCCAAACATTAACGCTGAACTTAACGTAAAGATACAGAAAAAAGATAAATTTTTTATTTATTTATTTTTTGCTAAGTTTAAGTGTGCAGAAAAGAAAACAGACCAATGTGGAGCAGATCCTGTGCAATGATCTGTTCTGTCACAGGAAGACAGAAAAAAAGGAGCATCTAACCAACTTCTGTTAGGATTACTGATCAATGTTCCCCTCCAGGAAATCACTGCATTAACTCTGAAGCTTTAGGTTGAAGTTCTATGATCAGTGTGAAATAATAACGATTAGTGTTAAATGATAATAATTATTGTTAAAGAACGGCAGATTTAGCAGAGAACCTGAGAGATTATAACCAGTTGAATCGTCACACCTTCAATGAGAAAGTTTAGATTTGACATATGTCAGAATAAATTGATTTTGTCGCCCTCTGCTGGCTGTAAAAACACAATTAAAGGAAAATCTGATTTTTTTTTATTTATTTTTTTTTGCTGTTTATTAAACAGCATCAGCAGACAAACCAAACAGTGTCGGTTCATGCGGAGTACATCTTTACTTTTCTGGTGTTTTTTTCCGAACGCAGTCCTTCGATAGCGAAAATGCTATTCTGCTAATTGCTCCCCGAAGACATTAGCTACTTGCCGTTAGGGTGTCAGAAACCCCCGTATTTTTCGTGAAGCGTCTCAGTCATATCGGTATCTAAGCTCGTCTGATCCGACATGCTGAGCACTTCTACGTCTAAGTAGTCGGAGTTCAGGTCTCAAAGAGAACCTGTAGCTGGTTTCCATTCACGCTGGAACGATGTGAGAATAAGCTACTTTCTTTTCATTGTTTCAGCTTTTTTTCATCCATAAAAATGGCGAATTATGAAAACGCGTTTCAGAGTAAAAGCCTTGTAAAATGCCACTCTGTTTCGTTTCATTTATATTTTTAACGTTTTAACCAGGCAGCGCAAACATGACTGGCTTGATCCATTGATTTGTTTATCTCATACTGGCCCTACAGTGCCACCCGCAGGACTGGAAGAACTACTAAAGCCCATTTGTACCTTGTTGATTACAGAACTTCCAAAAAAAAAAAAAAAATCTGTTTTTTAGGAAAATATTTATTAAGAAACGTAAATAAGGCTGTTTTAGTCTGACAGCGCTGAAGACGGATCCATCAATGCTGTGTCGCCACCACAGGCCCGCTAACAGCGTGCTGGCGTTTCTTTGGAACCGTATTCGTCTGCAATAGATCCTCTTTATGAACAAAATGAACGACAAGTCAGTCACAACAACTAGAGGACTGTAGGTGGTACCCGCCCAGACTCATTAGTGGGAGTTTGGTAGAGAGCACCATTTAAATACAGGTAACCCTGAGAAAAGCGCTTTACTGTCTGTTGATGGATGCAAAGGTACTAAATAACAAAAACATGGAAAAAGATCGAGTTTCTCAATTATATCCAATATTTTCTACTACAGGCTGAATGTTGATGAAATACAAAGATTACTTAAAGCAAAAACGTATAATTGTAGACAGAATTTTGGGCGATCTGACTGTTTTCTTTAAGCTATGACACAGGAGTCGGACTTTGAGGGTTGGGGTCTCGATGAGGAAGATGAAGGATAAGAGGCGGGTTGGTAACTGCTTCGGTACGGCGGAGATGATGTGCTGGAGGATCTCGATAGATAAGACGCGCTGCTGGGATTATAAGACGGGCTGCTGGGATTATAAGACGCGCTGCTGGGATTATATGAAGCAGTGCTGGATTGAGACACTGGTGGCGTAGGTGGAACTACTGGTTTCACTTGCTGTGCCGACGCGGTACTGAGATGATACAACGCGGTGCTGGGATTATACGACATGGTACTCGGTTTATATGCTGCTGCGCTAGTTTGAGACACCGATGGCTTAGGTGGAACCACTGGTTTGGGTTGCTGTACCGAAACCGTCGGTGTACTCAGTCTGTCGACAAGTGGATGTGTGGTCTTGTACTGCAGCAGGTACTCAGGATAGATCTGGTTCTCCTTAAACACTACGAATATAGAAGGGTCTGTGACGTCATTAACACAGCTGTCGTAGAGGTTATGGACTCCACCGTCTTTGGAAGGAGGCAGTTTGTAATTGGAGTCCCCTTTAGTGTAGCTCCCCACCAGCACACGGGCCACGAACATGGTTCTGACATCAGAGTTACCGGTGTAGCTGTGCGAGTATTTAGCGTCCCGGGCAAAGTAGCTTCCTGGGATTGGAAACAAAAACATTAGTAAGAAAACAGAAGAATCTTGGTTGTTTGTGGCTGAAAAATAAAACACAAAAGCAAAATGTCTTTTAAAGGTCACTTGTAATCAGTCAATGTTGAGAACCAAGAACTTAAACTGGGAAACGTTTCAGGTTTCCAAAATTTCTCTAACCTGTTTAGCATTAGCTGGTTTTAGCCAGCAGGAGGTGCTAACATTGATCCTTCCTGTATAGAGCTAAATCAGTCTCAATTTTCACTATTACACACGTGATTCACACACACATCGCATGATTCACCAAAGTGTTTCTGGTCAATAAACAATTATAAATTAAATTAAAGCTGCAAGCGGCATTGGGTGACCCTCGCAGCTCAGCGCCGCTCGGCCTTATGCGACCTTTGGAACCCTGCACCGCCGTCCCCACGCCTACGCCTAAACTCATGGCGTAAATTCGACCTTCCTGATCTTGCCATTCCAGATCCCAAAACGCACGCACAGAAAAGTAAAAGGCTTCCAACAGTGAAATATGGGACATCCTGAACGCCGGCCTAAACTGATATTATCAAATCTTTTTGTGATGAAAGCCTTTCCAAGATAACAGAATAATTCCTCTTACCTTCCTTATTGAGGTTATAAAAGCACGGCTGTGTATGAGTGGAGTTTAGAGTTTGATGCTTAGCTACGCCCAAATGTATCCATGTAATCATTTTAATACATTTTAATACAAATTAGTTTTAACAGGTTTTTAACCCTTTATAGGACACTCCTTGATATACTTTGAAAATAAGAATTTCAAGACAGCAGTGTAGGAATCCATGACAAGATCTTATTATATTTTTTTAGTTAATAAACCTAAATATAATGGTTAACGAGGCTTATTAACTTCAATTAGCTTTTTACTTTTTTTTTCTTGACTTGTTAACTTTTTTCCAACTTAATTTCCAGTAGGTAACATCTCCTTCAAGGGCTCATCTAATTGGTCCAAAATCAGATGTGCAGTCATGTAGCTCGAACTTTGCTGAATGACTGGATGTAGATCTTGTGCTACTAGACCTCACTGAGGTCTAGTAGCACAAGATCTACTTAAAATCCATTCCTCCTTTCTACTTAAAAATCCATTCCTCCAGCATTTTTTTAAACCTTTGGAGTTAAACCTCTTTATATTTATTTTTCATGTGCAGAATGTCTGCAGAAGCGATGGCAGCTTGCAGGTAGAGTCTGCCTCCTCCAAAAACCTCCTGGATCAGCTTTTCTGATTGGTTGATGCTCCGACTGTCCAGCGGCTAAAGTGTAATTTGCGGAAATCCAGTGTTGAACGCCTGAACGCTTGAAATACGACACTCAAACGCGCCGCTGGACTCCTTCACGCCGTTCCCTATAGACTTGTAAACCCTAACTGCTTCGGTGTGAACGCAGCTTTAGAGAATCTTCAGACCAAACTAAGGACATAGAGCTTGGAGCTGAAGTTATTTAACCACTTTATAGCAATAAGTATTGACCTGACAGTCAAAGCAAACCAGGAGGAAGTAGGCGGGGCTTGCTGATTGTGAAGCAGCCAATTAGAGTTCGTAAAATAGATATTTCAAATGATTAAATGTCAGTTTTCTGCACCATGAAATACATAAAGTAGATTTAAATATCACTGAAATTTGTTGGTGATATGTCAAATAAATAAATGGTACTTTTATGTAATAAGACATTTAATAAGTCATTTATGTCTTTCATGTGACTTTTATTTATTTCACGGTTTATTTAATGTTCTATTTAATCAATCAACGGGATATTAATGGTACATTTCATTTTGTCCTCTTTAACCTTCCTTACCTGTGATGTAGACGGCACTAATTGTTATTAATATCTGGTGACTTTAAGATGCCAAATCATTCCTGCAAATCAGTCCTGCTTTTTTTTCAGAATTACATTTTCTCCCCTCGAGATTCTTAGACACTCTGATCTATTAAAAACAATAAAAAAATATACAAAAAAAGGCAAAAGCCTTTTTTAAACATGTTAGAGATGTTAAGTACGCATTAAAAGAAAAAAAAGGCTAACATGAGAAACCTTAACTAGCACCTTTAACTTACCCTTGCCATAAGCCGTCCCATTAACCCCACAGAGCCGCCACTCAAAGTTGTTGTGGCAAATAGCTTCAACGTACTCGGGGTTGGTGCCGTGAAATAGTTGCTTTTCTACTACTTCCTGTCCACCGTTGTTGGTCTTCATCTTATTCTTTTGCCTTCAGGTAAAAAGGTTAGAAAGAGATGTTGATAAAGCTAACACACTATGCTAGCATGCTATGCTAGCATGCCATAAAAGCACACTATGCTAACACACTATGCTAACAAGCTACACTAGCACACTATACTAGCATGCTATAATAACACACAATGCAAGCATGCTATAATAACACACTATGCTAACACACTATGCTAGCATGCTATAATAACACACTATGCTAACACACTATGCTAGCATGCTATAATAACACACTATGCTAACATGCTACACTAGCACACTATGCTAGCATGCTATAATAACACACTATGCTAACACACTATGCTAGCATGCTATAATAACACACTATGCTAACATGCTACACTAGCACACTATGCTAACACACTATGCTAGCATGCTATAATAAGACACTAAGCTAACACACTATGCTAACATGCTGCACTAGCACACTATGCTAACACACTATGCTAACAAGCTATAATAACACACTACACTCTCACACTATGCTAGCATGCCATAATAGCACAGTATGCTATCACACTATGCTAACATGCTACACTAGCACACTATGCTAACACACTATGCTAGCATGCTATAATAACACACTACACTAACGTACTGAGCTAGCATGCCATAATAACAGTATGCTAACACACTATGCTAACATGCTACACTAGCACACTCTGCTAATACACTATGCTAGCATGCCATAATAACACACTACGCTAACACACTATGCCAGCTTGCTATAATAACACACAATGCTAACACACTATGCTAACATGCTACACTAGCACACTCTGCTAATACACTATGCTAGCATGCCATAATAGCACAGTATGCTATCACACTATGCTAATATGCTCCACTAGCACACTATGCTAACACACTATGCTAGCATGCTATAATAACACACTACACTAACATATTGTGCTAGCATGCCATAATAACAGTATGCTAACACACTATGCTAACATGCTACACTAGCACACTCTGCTAATACACTATGCTAGCATGCTATAATAACACACTACGCTAACACACTATGCCAGCTTGCTATAATAACACACAATGCTAACACACTATGCTAACATGCTACACTAGCACACTATGCTAACACACTATGCTAGGATGCTATAATCCTATAATACATGCTATAATAACACAGTATGCTAACACACTATGCTAGCATGCCATAACACCATATGCTAACATACTATGCTAACATGCTCCACTAGCACACTCTGCTAACACACTAAGCTAGCATGCTATAATAACACACTATGCTAACACACTATGCTAGCTTGCTATAATAACACACTATGCTAACATGCTATACTAGCACACTATGCTAACACACTTTGCTAACATAATATGCTAACACACCATGCTAGCATGCTATGCTAACAGATGAGGCAAGCATGCTTTACTAGCACACTACCCTAGCACACTATGCTAACACACTATGCTAAAAGATGATGCTAGCATGCTGCTCTAATGTATCCAAGCCTCATTTTGAAGGGAAATGAAACAATAATGCTAATATTGGTAACAAGATAGAAAAAAATGTATAATGTAAGAGTTGTTTTTATTTTAAATCATCGTAGAAAAAAATCTAGAAGCAGCAGGAGGCATAATTGCATATTCAAAGCTCTGAACTTCGATATCCATGCCTTTTTTGCACCATGATTTCCCCCACACTGTTAACATTTGATCTTAGAATGATTTAAAATGAAAATAAACCAAACTACTGTATTTAGACAGTTAGTCCACAGGATACGTACCACTGAAAGAGTTCCCAAAGTGCTTTGTTCTGAATCCTCTCTATCTTGATAATATCAAAGCCTCTCATGGTTGTACTAAAAAGTGTTTGAAGCCTTTTAAATTCATCTGATGTTTGCGGAATGGAGACTTTCTACAACACACAGAAAGAGGAACATTTTAAGATGCAGGACGGATGGATCATTAATATTTGCTCATTTTTATATTGGAAAACATAGATGTATGAAGGCCAGAACAGACAGGATCCTAAAACCAACAAATGCAAAAAGTAAATCAAAATAAAAAACAGATTCTATAAACTATACATTAAATAAATAAATGAAGCAATAAGGTATTGTGGAGTTGTTTAGTCTTCTATCTAAAATACAACTTGATCATTTGACGTTAGCCTTGTTTTAACGCACATGTTGCATAAGTCCAAAATTTAAGAAGTGGATTAATGAGACCATTAGGACGGAGTTTATCTTTGAAACCACCGATCATGTTCACGATAGTTTATGTGTTTATTAAAGGGATCCACGATTGGAAGTAATAAAAGACTTCATTTAACAAATATTTATTTTCAACACAAAACAATAGCTGTTTTGTTTTAAATGCATTTAAACAAAACAGCTACACAAACATCGCCATTTTGTTTATGTTTAAAACAGCAACAAGTAATATAAACCTTTTCACTTTGAAGCAAAGCGCCTTGAAATTGATAAAAATGTAAAAATCACAAGAGATAATGAAGATGAGGAGAAACAAACGGAGGAAGAAAGCTAGAAGATGCTAACCCAGATGTTGAGCTATGCTACAAAGTGCTCCAGTTTCTAACTATTCAGGCTATTTAGGGTTAGCATCAGGATCAAAACATTTTCTCAGGTATATTAGAAAGATGTAAAAAAGTTGTTTTCCTGTTAGCTTCTGCTAATGATGTTAGCTCTAGCATATAATAAACAGAAGATCACATCTGTTTGTTTCTGCAAATATCTGATGTAGAACGGCTCATGAAAACTTTGAGGCGGCGATGCCGTGTGACATTGTGTAAATTTACACCAGTAATTCACAACAGGATAAAAGCGACTCTGCTAATGTTAGCCTTCTAGTGTTTACACTGTAGGTTATAGTCCAGAAAGACCTAACATCATCAATTCTGCATGCACAGGTTAAAAAAATGGGTATAAAACATAGAGTATGTAATTTTTGAAGTAATTACTAGTTTTTACGTATCACAAATAGCAATTTTCAAGTTAAAAAGATTATAATGAGGGCGACATATTTAACTAGTCGTTGATTCCATAAAGGTCAAATTTCCATCCTTGTTTCTCCGAACTTCTGGAATATTTAAATGTCTTATAGGTGCCTCAGCCAATAAACCAGAAAGTAGAGAATGCTGTCAGCTTCAAGCATCCAGGATCCTGAGTTAAGTGAACCTTCATCAGCGCAGAAGAAGTGTTTGCATAGTGGTGAATGTGGTGAAGGTTAGTATTACTGCAAAATTGCTATTCTAGCTACAATTTTTTTGCAGCTTTCAAGAACTGAGGAAAGCTTTATAGATATTAAGGCTGATTTATACTCAGAAACCAGGTCGTCTGCGTGTGTCGCAGTTAACGCAGATATGCCCCGCCCCCTTTCGCAGACAAAATTGTAGGTGACAGCAGACAGGAGGCCTCTGATTGGTCAAATCTACATCTGCTCTACTCTATACGTATTTCCTGTTTGGTTCCTTACCAGCTTTTTTGTTTGTCTAACCGCCATTGTGGAAAACGACTGGTGAAGATGGAGCAGCTAGAAGAGCGAGGTGCGCGAGAACGCTAGGACCCTTTTTCCACCTGGATCCCCGCTCTTTTTGGCCCTCATGTCCCTCCGTTGTCGCACAAACTTGCCCCCACTTCCTCACCGCCTCGGCCATATCTAGACCCACAGCTAGTTCCTGATTGGCCCTCTGGCATTGTGGCGTGGAATAACATAGGAAAAACCACGCTTCAATATGGACAGAAATACAAAAATATCTGCGATAAGCTTACTGCGACACACTGTTTGGGGGAGGATAATCAGGACTTTACTGTTTTAAATGCGTAGGACAATAATGCAGGCGCATTATTTACCAAACACATCATATATTTTTACTGAATGAAAAGACACAGCAGGCACTCGTGTGTGTATCCGTTTCTGGGTGTTTTTTTAATTTCGTTTTCAGCATTTTATTGTCATTCCACCGTGACACGTACAGAGCAACGAAATTCCCTCTCTGCATTTAACCCCTCCCCTTGGGGAGCAGTGGGCTTCCATTGTGCGGCGCCCAGGGAGCAGTGTGGGGTTAAGGGTCTTGCTCAGGGACCCAGAGTGACAGTCTGTGGGAGTGGGATTCCAAGCTTTACGCCCTAACCACTAGGCCTCTAGTTCAATATAATTTTCTTGTTAACTTGAAAATTGCAATTGTGTCCCAACCACTGTCAGGTATTTCCTGTTCCTTTGTGATTCGTCCATTAGGTTCTAATGAAATTATTGTATTCGTTTTGAAAAAGAATAGTTAGCTAAACGGTCGGATAGAGCTAAACGGTGTAAAAGCAGGAAGGAAAACATGATTACTTCAGAAACTCCTTCCAACTACAGCCGATATAAACCAAAAAGAGGTTTGTTATTGAACTGGGAATATTTCTGACATCAGAGGCGTGCACAGACATTTTGGGGGGCAGGTGCTCAGGAGGGGGGGGCACTTTTTAGCGCACGTGGAACACTTAATTATAAAAAAAAATACACACGCATGTTGAATGAAATTTGACTTTTATTTGTAACATTCTCTAAACGTGAGTTTTCAATGGAAAAAGGTCACACCACCAACAGAACAGACTTAAGCGTACTACTTTAAAGTAGTACGCTTTCTCATCTTTCTTCTTCTTTCATCTGGCTCATCTCCCTGTGAGCGACCGCGCGAGTTCACGTGACAAAGGAAGAGAGGTGGCTCATTTCGGGGCATTGTTTCAGTCGTTTTTAATGGCTCAGGTTTTCAAAAGATCATTTCAAAACCGACCTCAGTAAAATCTTAATAATATTCATAATAAAAAGAAAAAAAACGAGTTTCAAAAGGGCATTTTCGTTGATAAAGGGCAAACTTCCTAGTGCTTTAGCACCACCTAGTGTCTATGTATGCACGCCCCTGTCTGACATATTGATTTATCGTTTTACAAAAAATATAGCATCACTTTTCATAGAGGCTGCTGACGGAGATCTATACATAAAAACAGAAAACAAGCCACAGATATTACACAAATCTATTTTATTTAACAAGTAAACATTGGGGTTTTGTGAAACGTACCGCAAGAACATAAATAGGCATTTTGTTTCTCTTGGTGGTAAATATAGACGTACAAACATAATTATATTCGATGCAAAGCAAAGTTACATTTTGATAAACTTTCTGCTTTCGTTTTTTTTTTCTAAACGCGTTTAGAATAAAAATCATGCTTTTATTTTGTTAAAAGCTCACAATATACCGAATCTCTGCTTTTTCAGTTTCTACAAATAACAGATGTGATTATTGAGAGAAATATGTTTGCTTCACAAGGTTTCTATGAGATTAAGCACCTTATAGTGGATTTACACAGATATCATTCCAGCAAATTTACATCCTGCTGCTAGTTTGACAACATGGACATTGAACAAGCTGGTGAAGGAGGTCAGCTCTGCTCTATGAACACTTCTAGATGCTCTGGATATAGTTCTACAGCAAAGAGTTATTCATAAAGTGAAGAACATCACGGGCAACAGTGAGCATCCTCTGCAGAAGATTTTTAAACAACAACCGAGGCTACGTTCACCCTGCAGGCCTTGATGCTCCATTACTATTTTTTGTGAAATCCAATTCTTCAGCATAGTCATTCATATTTCCAAATATATGCAACGTGTATCTGATCTCCTGTGTGAACTGCATTCACACAAGTAAAGTGTCGCACATTCGCAGTAGAGGACGCAGTGACATCACAAGCAGGGAGCGTGCTCTGTGTTTATGGAATTAAACATGGATGGTAGCGCTCAAGCACACCTAGCGATCTTTTATTTTATTTATTTTAAGTGTTCTGAATGATCCTTTCCCAGCAACGAATTGGGAAAGTTGGTTAGAGATGTAAAAACAGAGTTTTCCTTTAAAACGTTTAAGGTCAGTGTTATCTTTTTATTTCACTGAAAGTCTCTTTGCGGTGATCCTGGGTTTGAATAAAATAAAATACTTTATTGATGGTTTTTTATTATCTACTTGGCTTTATTCCCCCTAATTGTGCCATTTACATTACTAGAATCGTCCTTTGCATCCCTTTGCTCCTGAACGCACCTCTACATGGGGAAAACCAGTGAAAAACATGCTCCATTTGCTACGGAAGAGGATTAGGGCCACTGGAAAAAAAAATGTTAACTGATTTTTTTTTATTTCATTTCAGTATAGTGTGAGAATTCAGTCAGAATTCTGAGATTAAAGTCAGAATTCTGACTTTAATCTCAGAATTCTGACTTTTTTCTCAGAATTCTGACTGAATTCTGACAATAAAATAGTCAGAATTCTGACTTTTTTCTCAGAATTCTGAGATTAAAGTCGGAATTCTGACTTTTTTCTCAGAATTCCGACTTTAATCTTAAAAGTCAGAATTCTGAGATTAAAGTCAGGATTCTGAGTTTAAAGTCAGAATTCTGACTTTTTTTATTGTCAGAATTCAGTCAGAATTCTGAGAAAAAAGTCAGAATTCTGAGAAAAAAGTCAGAATTCTGAGATTAAAGTCAGAATTCTGACTTTTTTCCCATGTTAAACTGAAATAAAATTTAAAAAAATCAGTTAACTTTTTTTTTTTTTTCCAGTGGCCCTAACCCTCTTCCGTAATTTGCAACATTTGCATTCAGTGTGAATGCACCATTAGAAGGCTAAATGTCCACCTGCACAGCCACTGGTGTTTTCACACTCAAACTCTCCACTTAGACAGAATAAAGCTAGTTGTAGCTAGTTGGCTAGTAACTAGTGATGCTGAGGGAAATGAGGCTCTAAGGAAAGATGATTGCTTCATATCAAGCAACCATCTTTGTCATGCAGGATATAAAAGGAAAAAGAGCAAGTGTAGCTGCTAACTAATTATAAATATAATCATCAAGCTCCTAAATTAAAGGTATAGTGGAGAATTTTTGCGATTTTTTTGATAAGACCTCTCCACTTAACCCCGCCCTCTCCTATAAAAAAAAAAATAATGCACATGCACAACCCTGTACCCGCTCCCGAGAGGGAACGCCTGTTAAACACCTGTGAGAGCCCATTTTTCCTCGTGCACGCTGTGGTGAAAAGTTGCTGTTTGCATCGCTCTGACAAGCTAACTTTCCAAAAGATTTGCAATTTTTCCACTATGTCAGACTCACCAGAGGTTACTAGTATTAGTAGTTAGATGGATGACCAATTAACCTAACAGTCATGACGGCCTTACGTAAAAATATCACCAGAATGATTGACAGTTAGGAGGACCACTGATTAAGATGATCCACCCAGAAATAAAAAATGCTCCACAACACGTTTAAACATGAATCATTTTAGAGCATATAGCTACTGCTGTCAGAATTTATCGACTGAGGTAAACTAAGTTATTTAATGATTTTGTTTCACCAAGTTTGGCCCAAAGATGCTTTGCTAACGTTGCAACCAGGAAGGAATCAGTGCTGTCTCAAGAGAGCGGGATTTCCTGAAAGGTAGCCAATCACAGGCAGTTTATTTTCTCCGGTTGGTTTAACGCTCAGAGGGACAGAAGTTGACATGAGCGAAGAAACAAGTCCTCAGGAGAGAATCTACAGGTGGGTAAAAAGCGAGAGCGCGGAGGAGGAACACGATCTCATGGTTGGGACGTTTTGGGGGCAATGTTGCCAACTCCTCGGCAATGAAAGTTGATATTGTCTGACCAAAAAGATGCTAGAGGACGTAATTAACTAATTTACAATCTAATATTTCAACTATTTTAATTAAAACTACACAAATCAATATTGCTGTTATTAAATTAAACTTAATGACAGCTATCAGAGGCATAAAGCTGATGAGGCGGGAGGATCTATTTTAGAGCAACGGGTTCAAAGAAAAACCGGTTCAGGGCGGATCAGTGGAAACTTTACTCGTGATTGACTCCTGTTCGAAGAGGAAACGTCGACTTCATCCGACTCCCTGTCAGTGGTCCGGAGATGAAGGCTCGCTAAATGTTTACAGAACAGAGGGATCTCTGCTTTCATTGTTTTTTCCTTTTGTATTTCTCAATTTATTTATGTACTTTGTGTTTTTTTGTGTAATTAACCATTTATTTATGTATTTCAACAATAATTTATTTTTCCTGTAATTTATTTACTCCTCTCTCTCTCCATATGTTGAGGTGGGAGGTTCTAACATTTGCCTACAGCTGGTTAACTGGGAGAACAATACAGAAGCTGACGATTCATTTTTGTATTCATTTATATATGTACTTATTTATTTTTATAGTTATTTTTGTTTTTCCCGCCCTGTTGGAAGCAAGAGGCAGGAAAAAAAGAGCCTGGAGTGAATTTATACCGAGAATCCTCGTTCAGGGATCTGAGTTTTGTCCCAGTTGTCTGGCACAGCTGGAGGCCTTCTGCAGGAAGAAAAGCTGAGTTAGTTTCACTTCGACCGATTTCTAACGTTTTATAAACACAAACGTTTTTCCTTCAACCTACGTCACTTTCTTCGATTTGACTTCTTCGGTGGAGACGAACCGAGGACGTCTGCTCACCAGCCTCTTCGTGCCGTAATGTTTGTTTGTCTGAATCATGTCTGAGAAAAAAAATACACATACGGAGTGAGTTTTGTTCCATTATTGTTGAAAGATAAAAACATGTTTTGCAAATGAAACAAAAAAGTTAAATAAAAATGAAATAAAATGAAAAGAAAACAAGTAAAGGTTTTAAAAAGTTTTCGCTTTTTCTTTAACAAAATATATATCTTTCATATATTTTTTGTGTAAATGCATTTGTTTTCAAAGTTGTTTTTTTTCCAGATTAAGTTTTCTGCATTTCATTCTTTGCAAATTGATTTTTTTCCAGATCCCATTTTCTTCCCTTCTGGGGGCGGGGCTTTCCTCTGGAGTGAGGAGCCCAGACGCATTTCTATTGGTCTGCTGGACGTTAGCATCATTTCTTATTGGTCAAGAGTGAATCAGTTCAGACAGGCTTGAAGGGAAGACAATGGTATCTGGAAAACAGAAATTAAATTAAAAAAAAAGTAAAATTGAAAATATAAAATATATATTTTAAAAAAATAAAATCTTTGAAAAGATAAAATAAAATGAGAAAGAAAAAAATCCTTTTCTTCTCAATTTACAAAAATATTCTTTGTAAGTTAGCATGTTCTCCCTGAGCATGCGTGGGTTCTCTCCGGGTACTCCGGCTTCCTCCCACAGTCCAAAAACATGACTGTTATCCCCAGCAGGGATAAAGCATGAATGAAAATGGATGGATGGATGCTCATTGTAAATTTTATTGCATGAATAATGAAACAAAGTTCACTCCATACTTTTAATGCATTATTTTAAAATCCCTTAAAATAAAAAAAGCACAAAGAAATAATTTTTATTACCCTGAAAACTAAGAGAGTACGACTGAGAGCCGACAGAAAACTCCAAAGTGTCGTTCTGATCTTCCAGAAACTTCTTCTCCAGCGTGGCGCTGTTGATGTCCGCAGATTTCCTTCCAGCGCTCTGCAAAACACACGGCGGTTTTATCTTAGTGGATGCAGCTAAAACCAAACTGTTTTTCTTTCATATAAGGATGAACTGATAAATCCATCAGATGTGTGGAAGACTCAACAAATCTGAAAGCAGCTAAAAGACGAAAACAATCTTGTTCCTGATAAAACATCCTAAAGAAAAAAAACAGAAATAAGATTAATGAAACTGACTAATCACCTTTTCTGTTTGTAAAGACTTCATTTTTGTAAACGTAGTTCTGTGCAATAACCCTAGCAGCAGTCATTCAGTGTTATATTATCATTGTTTGTTTTTGGGGCAACTGTTGAAAAAGTGTTTGCTTTCTCTTCCTCTAATTACGTGGTAAAAGTAACACCATAAGTATTATTAGTCCAAGTTTAAACAAAAAGAGTCATTTTTTTAAGGAATCATAGGAACTTGAAGGGAGCGTTGATGCTTTATCTGAAGGCCTGGTTGCTGGACGCACTAATGAAGCGGGGAATGTTTAAAAATATTGGTCGATGCCGAATATCGGCCCATGAATCGCTCCATCTCTGGTTTGCTGTGAAACGCTTTAATGTAAAGCTCACCTCCCAGAGCGCATGATAGAAATAATAGCTAGTTTTTAAACTAATTTACGCCTTTCGTCATTTTTTAAAATGAAACTTAAGGGACGAAAATAAATCCATTAATGAGAGATTAGAGCCAACGGTAATTAAAGTTACTTTGAGGGCAAAGAAAATAGATTTCCTTGATGTTGAAATGCAACTTTTATTCGTTTATAATAATCTAAAGACCAGATGTTAATAAAACCAGAGAATTAATCTAGTTCCTTTAGAAAAGGGGACAGAAAGTCATTGCAGACATAAAAAACATGAAAAAAGTATAACAGGTTTTCTTTTAAAGGCACACTATGCAACATTTTTCAGTTAATTAATGTGTTCCATAACGTTTTGAATGATTAAATGAGTCATTTCAGGTTGAACAAAGGTTTTCTCAGCCGCCCTGGTGGTCTGTAGGGGAAATACCGTACTTGCAATTGCAGGAGCCCTCGGCCCGCACCCACAGGCTCAGAAGTCTCGCGAGAGTCGGTCTCGCTTTACGGCGAGAACTGCTACACCCCCCAGGGAAAGGCATGCTCGTTGCTAGCAAAGTGGCGATCTTTGTGCAGTTATCATGGCGGAACCAGCGTGAAAAACAGCGAAAGCCCATGTTGGAGCAGGCAAGAAAGAGGAAAAGGGCTCCAGACAGAGAGAGGAGTCGTACACGGGTGAACATCGGGCAAGCTTTTTCTGAATGGCGAGAGCTAAAAAAAAAAAAAGAAGGCTGCAAGGCTGACGCGGACCTCGCGTTTCTGCTGATGCGATTGTAAGTAACATTGGAATGGTTTCTCTCTCTCTGTGTGCATGTTCATACTTTCACGGTGTTAGTCATTCGTTGCGTTCGCCTGTCTGCTAAGCTCAAAACAACCGCGCCTGGCTTGACGGAGAAACCAGGAGAACAGCTGAGCATATTTACGACAGTGCACTTTTACTTTCGCCCTCTGGGGGGAGCCTCGCTGGAAAATCAACACCGGTTGCATAGTGTACCTTTAAAAAAAAAAAGAAGAAATGAGAAACAGAAATCAGCAAACAGGTTTATTCAAGTTACTGATTAACAAATCAATAAACCGAAAGTTTATTGATCTTTTCAGTCGACTGATGATTATTTGATAAGTAAAAGTTCTCTCAATGATCTTTAAATAACATGAAGGGCTAAAGGTTTCTGAAAATAAACTTGAAAACAAACAATTATTATATTTCAACTAATTATTATTCCGTCTCTTTTAAATACAGATGGAAAAAACTAAAATGCATTTGAAGGGAAATCTTTATCTAATAAAAAGAAAATGTTGGAATCTGTTATAAAACTAGGGATTTTTTTATGATATCCATTTAATTCATATCTGGAAATGTGAGTCCACCTCCTGATTAGCTGCATCAGATCACCTGAGGAAGGACTTTGGACTGGACGGGACCCAACATGGAAACGTAATAAGTGGCGTGCAGCTTTTATGACGCGACTGGAAACTCTGATTCAATCGAGCTGAACAGAAAACATCAGAACAGCCGCCAGAGCGCAGATATTTTGACAAATTAGCCGCTTACCTGGTGTTTAGACTTAAATCGGTTTCATTAAATGTGTTTTATTGAATTCCATGTTGTTGTCATGATCTTCACTGATGGCTGGCATCATTATTGATTCAATTCACCTGTCTGACTCTTATCCACCTGCTCCTGCCTCTATGCGTCTCGCTGGCCAGTGGTGAGAGGGTTTTTAGCTCCCCATAGTGTTTCTGATGACGTGATCCTGACCTGTTCTGCCTCTCAACTACTGAGCCTGTCTGTTTCCATCTGAACGGTTTGCCTGAACCGTCTTCAGACTCCTGGACCTCTGAGCTTCCCTGTTCCTGTTCTGATCCGTTTGCCTGACCTCGCTTCGGACTCCTGCATGTTCTCTGGAGCTGTTGGCAGCCCACAGCGTGGATCCTAGCTCCTTCTCTGGTGATGGACTGAACTTGTAAACCAGGTTAGTGACTCACAGGGATAATCATCCTCCTCCATCAGATTATCGTGGTCACTAACCTGTGTTTCTCTCCAACAGAGTTTCCAGTGATAGACGCCCACAGCCCGCTATGATTAATAAATGAGTATTTGAAGTTATCTAACTTTCTGTTCCCGTGTTCTGATTAATGACAGTGGTAAAATAACGAGAGCCACAAAATTGATTGGAAACCCCGTAGAATCTGCTGCAGAGTAAAAACCTCTCACAAATCATTACATTTTAAATAGAAAAAGCTTTTTTAATCTTAAAAAATCTTGGGAATGAACCACAAATAGTCTTTTATGAACTAATTACACTAAAAAAAACTTTGTTTTGTTGTTGTTTTTTTTCCACCTGTTAAAGGTACACTATGCAACCGGTGTTGATTTTCCAGCGAGGTTCCCCCCAGAGGGCAAAAGTAAAAGTGCACTGTCGTAAATATGCACAGCTGTTCTCCTGGTTTCTCCGTCAAGCCAGGCGCGGTTGTTTTGAGCTTAGCAGACAGGCGAATGCAACGAATCACCATGTCTACTGCGGTAAGGGACTATTTAGTTCCAGTTTTCGAGTTTGAAAATTTAGCACGTTTCCGACACGGGCTTTCGCTGTTATCTTGCTGGTTCCGCCATGATAACTGCACAAAGATCGCCACTGTGCTAGCAACGAGAATGCTTTTAACTGGGGGCGTGTAGCAGTTCTCGCCGTAAAGCAAGACCGACTCTCGCGAGACTTCTGAGCCTGTGGGTGCGGGCCGAGGGCTCCCGCTATTGCAAGTGCTGTATTTCCCCCACAGACCACCAGGGCGGCCGAGAATACCTTTGTTCGACCTGAAATGACTCATTTAATCATCCAAAACGTTATGGAACACATTAATTAACTGAAAAATGTTGCATAGTATGCCTTTAACCTGCCTGGAGGCTCCAGAGCAGCAAACTGAGTAAACATGAAGCAGTGATGGTGTGTTTATTCTACATGAACTTTGGACAGAAACTTGAGGCCGAATGGATGAAGATCAGAGGTGGATTTGATGCACTCACGTCTGAACCGTACTGGTTCCACTTCCCAAACTCGTCCTGCCAGTACCAGAGCCACTCGGTGGTGTGGATGAAGCTGGGCTCCACCATGGAGTTCACCGTGGTGAGCCGTCGGACTTTGCTCTCTCCGCGCGTCATCGTGTCAAAATGCACCGGTGGACTTCCGCTGCTACGGAAAGCAAAAAAAACAAACATCTTTCAGTGAATTTAGCTACTGCTTAAAACATTCAATAGAACACTTTATGTCTTAAATGAGTCGATCCCAAAAAAACCTGCTTACAGCTGATATGAATACAAAACGAAAAATTAAAGAAAATGCTAAAAAGCAAATTTTCCTTTAGCTATTTCATAATATATACATTTAAATAATTACATACATATCTGCATGTATAGATTTTCTTTTTTTCCTTTTGCAGTTCATTTAAATCGCACAGTAACACATTTTCTACATTATTAATATTAAATTAATACTATGTTTTGATAGCTACAAGCTAATACACAAGTTAGCCAAATTTTGCCTCAAAGGAATAGTACACCCAAAACATGATTAGCCTTCATTTTCTACTCACCCCCATGCTGAACAACACTCTGGAGTACTTTTTTGATATCTCAAATGCATCTGGAGATCTGGGAGGCTTCTTGCTGTCTGCTGACATTCAGATAATGGAGGTCTATGGTGCCCGAGGCAGAAAGGTCCATAAAAGTCCACAAAAAACGTGTCAATATTCCTCCATACTGCTCGTCCAATGTATTCCAAGTGTCCTGAGTGGGTAGCATCCAGAATTTACTCGAAACGAAGTCATTTAGAATGTTTTTAGAGCATAAACAGTAGTGTATAGTATTTCCTAAAAGCGAGTTCACGAGTCTACGGAAACCGCGGCAGACCAAACCAGATGAAAGTGCGCATTCAGCGTCTGCTCTGCCGATAATGCAAGCGTAGAAGAAGAAATGTGCTGTTTACCTGTGCAAAGAAAGAAACAACGAAAGAAAAATGTCTGAGGACTTCAGTGTTGAGGAAGAGCATGAGTTCTTTGCCGAGCTGAATGCGCACTTTCATCTGGTTTGGTCTGCCGCGGTTTCCGTAGACTCGTGAACGCGCTTTTAGGAAATCCTATACACTAATGTTTATGCTCTAAAAACATTCTAAATGACTTCGCTTCCAGTAAATTCTGGATGCTACCCACTCAGGACACTTGGAATACATTGGACGAGCAGTATGGAGGAATATTGACACGTATTTTGTGGACTTTTATGGACCTTTCTGCCTCGGGCACCATAGACCTCCATTATTTGAATGTCAGCAGACAGCAAGAAGCCTCCCAGATCTCCAGATGCATTTGAGATATCAAAAAAGTACTCCAGAGTGTTGTTCAGCATGGGGGTGAGTAGAAAATGAAGGCTAATCATGTTTTGGGTGTACTATTCCTTTAAGCTGAAGCTGGAGAAGCAGGATACCTGTACGAGTTTCCAGGGTCACAGAACTCCTTTTCGATGGCCTCATTACTGGGCAACGCCTTCCACTGGTCGCCTTCATGGACCTGCCATCTGTACGGCATCTTGTCGTGAGCTTTAAAGCACTTGTCTGAAGTCATAAGTGGAATGAGATTATTTGAGACCCAACAAAGGTAAAAAGGTTTGAAACAGGAGAAATAAGTCATAACTTGCCTCCATTTTTACAGTAGCCTTTGATGAAGTACATGCATATCTCCGTTTTATCAACTGAAAACATCAAAAAATAGTAAATGATCTTTAAAGCATTAATTCTTCTCTGAATTAATTTGTTAGTTTGTTTATTTACTCTTTGCAGTTTTGTTCTTTTGTCCTTTTTTCTGTTCCTTGTTTCCCTGTTCTGCACCAGCGCCGGGGTCGTCGGTAGCAGAGGCCCTACGGGGCCCTCCATGGTTGCTTCCTCTCCCTTTACTTGCTGAAGTTCGATTGCGACTCTTTGAGCGCCGTTTTGTCTTTGCACTCTGCGCGCCCGCGTCGTCTGTGATGGCGGAGACGTCGCTGTTGGATGAATCGGGATCTTCCTGGCGACTGTCACTGCGACTCGGTTCGCCTTCGCCGTACAGGTTCAGGCCACTGGACTCGCCCCAGAGGTCGCCAAAGGAAGTGCTTCGTAGTTGCTGTAGGGGGTTGTATCCGGTTCCCCTGCCTCCCCTGTTCCCCCTGGCCCCTCTTGGCCCCCTGTAACCCCCCCTCCCCCGGCCGTAGGGTCCCGGCCCATTCAAACCACTGTCACTTCTTCTATCGACGTCGTAGCCAGCAGCAGAGACGTCACTGCTGGAGGAATTACAACCTCCATGCTCATTTACTCCGTCTTCCGTGTACAAATCCAACAGATCAAGATCAGCGGAGATGTCGCTATGGCTAGGTGTTCGTCGCTGGCTGAGGTTTCCTCTATGACCCCTGGTGCCCCTACCCCCTCTATTGCCCCCTCTCGCTCTTCCTCTGCCGTGTCTTTCATTGGGCCCCCCACAGTTCCCCCTGTGCCCTCGACTCGCTCCTCCTCTACCGGAGATCCACAGCGCCTTCTTATTGGGATAAACAGACTTCAAGGACACAATGATGTCGTTGGGGACCATCTTAGCGTTTAAGCTTTTCCTCGGCTGAAGACCGAAGAAGTTATGTTCCCGGTAGCAGCTACAGGATTGGTCCAGCATCCTCTCACAGACGTGAAGCCTTTCACAAGCTAAGCCCCTCTCGCACCGGCCGAACAAGCCGTCGCCGTTATTGTAATCATGACATATCTGGTAAAACAAGAAGAGAAAAGGAAGCCATCAACCATAAATATCGTTGTTTCTAAAGTGATACCTGGGGAGATAGGAAGGTAGAAAGGTGGTGACACCTTCTCCAGACTAAAGAGCTTTGTTTCTGAGCATCATGTGGATGTTGGAGGACTTACAGAGGGCAGCATGGTGTTGTCGCTCTGCAGCAGCAGCGTACAGAGCTCCGCCCTGTTCAGGCAATCCAGCTCATGTTCTTTCAGTAACCTTTGGTTGTAGTCCGAGTTTAATTCATGGGAGAAACTGCATCCTCTTCTGTTGTAAAAGATTACATATAAGAAAGTTACATAGATTGTTGCCTAACCTCTAAAAACCACAAACAATGACAGCAAAGATCCCTGTCCAACTCCAAAACATACAGTAGCAGCCATTCCCATTTTACTCTGACTGCACACTTTCAATGAATTACAGGGTCTGGCCAGGAGATGGCACTTCTCTTTAGATCTTAATGTCCACAAATCATGACAGAAACAATATTTTAGTAGAAAAAGGCCTGTCGCGATAATCAATTAATCAATTAATCGCACGATAAATAAAAACTATCCACGTCATTTTATTTATCGGCTATATCGTCTCTGACTGTGTTTTTCCTCCTTGATGACGCTGGATGAAAAGGCTTAACTCCGGTGCTATCCACTGACCCCTCCCCTTCCTCATTTTTGAGGAGTGAGGAGGAGTGGACTATCGCATCAGGTAGTCAGCGCGCATCATTTTGTACTTCTGCAGCTTTAGAGCCCCGTGAGGAGTTAGAGGAGTTAGCGAGGTAAAATTATGTTGGGGGGGAAAAAGCTCAAAATGGAACTGGTTTGAAAGCCGAGCACAACAGCCGCCGTGTGGGAGTATTTCGGATTCAAACCAAATGACCGAGGCGAACCGCTGAACCTATGCGAGCCAATATGTCGCGTTTGTCATAAAACAGTAGCAACTAAGAGCAGCAATACAACCAACCTACACATGCAGCTAAAGCACAACCACCCAGCAAAGTTTCTCCAGCTGGGGACAAAAAGTAAAAGCGGTGGCCTGTCTGTGTCTTCAAGTTTGCGACAGTCCACCATCACTGAAGCAATTAATCGACAGGCAGCATATAAAAAGGACGTCGCAAACTGGCGCGCGCTCACAGACAGCGTAGTTCATTTAATTGCTACAGAGATGCTCCCATTTAATATTGTTGAAAAGCCTGCATTTCGAAAAATGTTGCAGACATTTGATAGACAGTATGAACTCCCGAGGAAAACATTCATATCACAAACGTGATATCTTATATATACGTTTTTATTTTCAATGTGGTTTTATCTTGTGTTTAGTTTTTGTTCAAGTGTATTTTTAGTTAACAGAGACTGAGAGTCCATTTGATTTTTATTTCTCATTTTATTTTGTTAACCAGTCCCAGTGTTAAGTAGGGATGGACGATATTGGGATTTTGGCCGATATCCGACATGCCGATATTTTAAAGCTCAAGTAGCCGATAACCGATATCGATACCGATGTTAAAGCTGGACAAAAATAAGTAGTCATTGAAAATAGCAGTTTTGTTATCCATTTCTGACACTTTGAAAAATAATATACCGTATTTTCACGACCATAAGGCGCACCGTACTAAAAGGCGCATTTTTTATATACAGGTACATGTCCTCTACTACCTTTAAATAGCTCTACTGCGTATTTTAAAAATACAGCGGGCCCAAAACTGAGTAGGACTGTGCTTTATTCATGTATTTATTACAAAGTATTAATCAAACCTGGCAGCTGGCCATGAGACAGACACATCGCAGATGACACAGCGCTGTGATTACTCCTAAATTTACTTAAAATCCTGAAACCTGCCGACGGAATATGTTCGCTTTTATTGCCGGTATCCTGGTGCCTGCACTGTAAATTATTTAGATGAAAAACACCTGCCAGCCGCCGCGGTGAGGCTGCTGTTGAAGGGATTTCTCCTGTCGGTGCACCGCTGGTATGTGGGGGTCTGACCGCCTCCGACAGAAATAGATAATCTGGATGAACTGACTGCAATTATTAAGTTTTCAGGTGGACTTTCTCACTTAAAAACATATTAAAACTACTTTATTCCCACTGATCACAGCAAATATAGCTGCAAGATTTAGATTATTTAGATGAAAAAACACCTGCCAGCCACCGCGGTGAAGAGGAGGAGACCCGCCCAGAGGCTGCTGTTGAATTAAGTTTTCAGGTAGAAAAATAGAGCGGGAGCAAAACTGAGTATGATTGTGCTTTATTCATGTATTTATTACAAAGTATTAATCAAACCCATCAAAGTCATCATCCTCTGTTTCTGAATTAAACAGCTGCGCTAAATCAGACATGCCAGTTTCCCCTTCTTCGCTGTCAGTCACTTTCCGTGCAGCGCGGCTCCTCAGAAATAATGCCGGCTTTTGCGAAAGCTTGAACAACAGAGCCAGCAGACTCGTTAGTCCAAGCATCTACAATCCATCCGCAAACGGTGGCGTAACTTGCCCGGCGCTGCCTTCCACTTATCCTGAAACTGTGGTCTCCGTCTGTCATCCATCGCTCCCACGCCGCTCGCAGCCTTACTTTGAACGGCCGCTTCACACCGATGTCGAGCGGTTGAAGTTCCTTTGTCAGACCCCCGGGATAACGGCGAGCACAGCGTTCATTTGATTCACCTTTTTTTTTCACATCGGCTGTGAGATGGGCACGCAGCGATGGTGATGCGTGGAAAAAAGCACCTGGTCTCCTCACATACACCTGCCTTTCATCATCTCCCCAGCCCGTTTCATTTGCGTTAATATCATATGTCATCAGAGCGCTCTGTCTGTCTCGCTGTCAGCTCCCAGATCAGCTTCTCTGATTGGTTGATGCGGCACGTCCAGCAGCAAAACTTCAATTTTTCCATCTCGAGCAGCAGCAGCGCGTTGGCGGCGCGCTCCCGACGCGCTGCACCTGCAGCTCAAAACGCGCTGCGGGACCTTTTGCTGCACCTATACGCGCGTCAACCATTGACTTTGCATGTAAACTCGCTGCTTCTGCTGCACCTGCTGGGTCCGGTTCACACCGATGTCGAGCGGTTGAACAGCGAGCACAGGGTTAATTTGTTTCCCCATGTTTTTCACATCAGCTGTGAGATGGGCACGCATGGAGTTACATATTAACAGCGATGGTGATGAGTGGAAAAAAAAAACACCTGGTCTCCTTACATTCAGCCACTCTTTCATCATCTCCTCAATGAGGTGGTCTCAAAAGTCGCAGTTACAACACACATAGGGCGCACCGCACCATAGGGCGCACCGCACATTTTGAGGGGAAAAAAAGACGTTTAAGTGCGCCTTATAGTCGTGAAAATACGGTACTCAAATATATTTTCATATGCTGATATCAAATAGATTTTTAAAAACGCGGTATCGATCTATTTTACTTTCAAAATCTCGTGAAATTTCATCGTTCTGTTACAAACTCTCGTGATATTTTGCAAATTCTTGTGAGATTTTGTTAGTAAAATAGATCGATACCGCGTCAATATATCAACATATAAAAATATGGCAACATTTGGTGAATTTTCGGGGGATTTCGTAGCATAACGATGACATATAGCAATATTTCATTAGTGAAAGAGATTGATATGGTGTTTTTAAATGGCAATATATCAGCATATGAAGATATTGGGATATTTTAATGGATCAATATTTTTCCCTCGTCTTTAGAAGTTTTTAAGTCTGTAAAAAAGAAGTTTTTGAGGAAGAAGAAGAAGTAGTATTTTTTTTTAGACTTTAGAAACTCAGAAGCTGATCAAATATCGGGTTAAATATCGGTGGGGTGGCCGATGTCCGATATTCAGTTTTAAGGCCGATACCGATAGGGGGCTGATTATATCGTGCATCCCTAAGCGCAGGCCTAGCGTTACCTAGGCCAGGCCTGCATATTGCGCCAGAACCCCAAAGGAATTACATGCATACTAGAATAAAGGAGAGGATCATCAGCATAAAACTAGTGTGCATTTTATTCAAGACGTCACTTCCAGATTTTTACAATCTGGAATCCAGTTTTAAAAAAATGATTTCATAGTTCCACCGCACCAATCAAGCAAATAAACAATAAACAGTCTACTGTCAAAATCTGCTACCTTTAAGTGAGGGAAAGGGAAATAATGCGTTTAAAATAATTGCAGCTGCATATTTTCATTAGTTTCAATCAAATTTTATTACTTTTTCTGGACAATTTTCATATTAATTTATTTTGTATTTGGATTTTTACTTAATTATTTTGAGGCCTCAATAACACAAGTTCACGGAAGTTATGTTGTCATGGCAACGTCAAGCAAGCTAACAGTCGCTGAGTAAAGAGGTCGCTGCGGAATGCTAGCAAATAGCCTAATGACAGCAACGAGGAGGAAATACGGCACAGAATCGCATTTCGGATTCGTCCGCTCATGAGAGACTTTCTCTCCACGACCTCAGAGCGCTCCTGAACATTTGGACACCTGTAATAATAATATTAATAATTATACTTTATTGATCTCACATTGGAGAAATTACCTCTCTGCATTTAACCACTAACCTGACTCCGCCAGATGGATTTGCTCCGCATATCCATCTGGAAACCTTTCGTTGAAGTAATTTTAGGAAGGAGCGAAAATACTGGTTAGCTGATTGGCCTATGTTGGTGATAGACGGGCCAAATAAACCAATTAGATCAACGAAGCATATGACGTACTAACAAAGCGACGACAAAGAGGAGCCAATTGATAGATCAAACTCTTGGTGAAACCAGTCGGAAGAAGAGCAAAAACATCTTTTCCTCTGAGAAAAGCCTCCAGAGCAGTGTTTTGCTCTTCTTTCAGTGAAGAAATACTCTGTAATTCCGATAAAACTTGCTCGATAGCCACGCTAACGCTAGTTTCATCGGCTGAAGCCGCCATGTTCTTTAGACTGAACTGTCGCGCTTCTCGCTGCGTCACACCTCAACCCGCCTCAAAGCCAACGCTGATTGGACGTTCGTTTGGTGAACGGCTCCAAATTTTCTTTAACGGAGAGTCTCCAGACTGATCTGCGAGTGAAACCTTGAAAGCTGGCGAGATCAGGATGGTCTCACGAGGCTATTTAACCCCTCCCCTTGGGGAGCTTTGACTAGTTCAAAGTAACTGAAATATGTTGATTATAATTCCGGATGTGACACCTTAAATGACAAATCAGATGACGTCATTTGACATAACTCATAATGCATTTGATTAAAGATTTCTTGAATTGTTATTTTTCCCTAGAAATAATATAAAACATCATTAAGGGCAGTCAAAATTTAGTGAATAATGTTTGTCTATTCTATTAAAATGTCTGTATCTCTATAAATATATTATTGGTCGTCTTCTCAATTGAGAGAGCCCCATGCCTTTCTTTGCCCAGGGCCCCAAATTTCCTAAATCCGCCCCTGCTTCCATTCTCTCCTCCAGGTTTCATCTGTTGTGCCAGAATGACCTTCTCTAAGCGCATTGCAATCGTTCCAGTCACTAAATAGTAAAATCCATTTACTCTATTTGCTTCGTTTTTCATGTCAGTGGGGTTTCAGATTCACGCAGCTGAAGCTCCTCCTACTTGATGATGCGTTCCAGGATGGAAACACTGCATCTGAAATGCAGAGCGGGGAACTAACGGTCACTAACCGACCCGTACGGGAAGCACAACCCGTACCATCAGCTCTTCTGTGCAACTAGATATACATCCAGGTCCCCCTTGATTTTAATTTATAAAAAAAATACTTAAATTATGTTTTTCCTTCCTTAAAATGCAGATAAATATGATTTAATCAGATTTACTGCTCTGAACGTGACCCATGATGACGTCAGAGAAGCAGTTTAACGGATAAAATGGAAAAAGCTAAATTGTCTCAGAAAATTCATAGAAAAATTTGAAAGATGTGTATTAGCAATCTTTAGTGACTCAAGGGTATAAATAAGTATTTTAGTACCATAATTACATTATTTATGGATGAATATCTGCTTGCAGACGCGTGAACGAGCTGATTGTCCAGATCGGGATTGGAAAGTCCCCGCTGACTTTCACCATTAAACTAGTTTAAAAAGAATGCAATTCATAACTCAAACTGAGAAAGAGAAATAAAAACAGTTCCAATATTTTAAAAATGGAAACAAATTTTGAAAAAAATAAAAACTTAAAATATTAAATCTATACAAATAATTTGAATTTTTGAAAAATTAATATCTCAAAACATTTTTATTTTTTTTATGATTTTTTATCATATTTATTTCATTTCTGGATGTTTCCAAAAGTGTTCGGCACTTGGAACAATAAAGGAACAAAACTCACGCCATATAGTTATTCACCAGCTACTCTGATCAGGATAACGCCTGAGCCATGACGTCACTGGCAACTTTAGAAAAGTAACTCAACTTAAAAGCTTTAAAATATATAAATTCACATTTGCTTTTGTCGAGGTGATAATCACACTTTTAATGTTATTGATGCATTTATAAGTAGTGTTATCATAAATTGAGGATATAAAGACATCGACAGCACGTGAACGCACCGCGCCCTTTAAGAAAAAGGCAAACTAATAATTCAGTCACTGTTAATCTCGGCTTTTATTTCAATCTTTGAGTTTTCTAACCGGACAAACAGCAGGTGTGTTTCCATCAGAGGCCCTCCGCCATCTTTTTACCTGAGCAGGAAGTGGCAGGTACCGCTGAAGAGGAAGTTTTTGCACAGGTGGAGGCTCCTGCAGTCCCCAGGACAGTCCTTCTTCCTGCACAGCCTCAGGCCGCTCCGGGCCACCACTCTCTGCTGCCCGTCAGCACCGGAGCTCAGAGCAAACCTGCTGGGGTTGGAAACCACCTCGTTCGCGGATTCACCGAGATTACTAACCAGATCTTCAAGGTTAACCGCTCCCTGATTGGCGCATATGTACTTTAAGATCACAGCCTCCATCGCTGCCTAAAGTCAGACTGCAGCTGTGAAAAGTGGAGCTGCTGCTTTTAAAGGCAGCAGGAAATGTTTGCTTTCATTTCAGCTGATTGGAAACCGAAACTTAAACTATTTGCAGAATGGGGCGGAGTGCAAAGCTGCGGCTCGCCGCGCGAGGGCGCTATAGTACAAGTTTTCACAGTCTGTGGATCTTGAAAGTTTTTTTTTTTTTTTCAACAATATATTTAAAAGAAAAACAAAATAAAGCAAAATTTCACCATTTACCACCACCCGACCTCAGTGGAACAATAACCACTGATTTCCTGACTGTTTACTAAAAGAATTTCTAATATATTTTCCCAGAAAACATCTCATTATGTCTAAGAAATTCAGTGATTTTCTTTTTTCTTTATCACGATAAATAAATATGATTCCATTGTTTTTATACCAAACATTTAATTCCTCCTTGAACTAAAGCTGTTTTTCCTAAACTCTTTGGTTTCTGTATAGAAGGACATTTCTGCCACTTGAAAGTAAAAAGATGGCACATGGTATATCATGATTACAATATAAACTCAGAATTATCACTTTGTTTATATAATATAATAATTATAACTTTAAAAGGGGAAATTAGGATGTTAGAGATCGCAATTGTAACTTAAACTCATAATATTGGCTTGAAACTTCACAATTATGAATATATATATTTATATTTTTTTGATCATTCGTTTTGTCCCCCTTATCTCTCTTATATCTCTCCAAGATATAAAACTGTGTTTTTTTTATGTGTGAAGAATAAACAACAAGTGGGATGAAATCATAAAAGTGAAATGCAATTTATTGGATATTTTAAAGATTTTTAATAAATAAAAAACTGAAAAATAGGGTCTGTAAAATTATTCAGCCCCCTTGAGTTAATGCTTTGTAGCGCATCCTTTGGCTGCGATCACAGCTGCAGGTCTCTTGGGGTTTATTGAGAAACAGCAGTTTGCTGTTCTTTCCACAGATTCTGAAATTGAAATGTAATTCTATTCAGTTTATTTCTATAGTTCCAATTCACATCACGTCATCTCAGGTCACTTTCCAGTTCACCAGATCATCCAGTCAGATTGATTCAAAGTTTTCTATCTAAGAAAAACCAGCTGATTGCATCGACTCATTGACTCTTCAGCAATCCCTCACACTAAGCATGCTTGTAGCGACAGTGGAGAGGAAAAACTCCCTTTGAACAGGAAGAAACCTCCAGCAGAACCAGGCTCAGTGTGAGCGGCCATCTGCTGAGGCCCACTGGGGTTCAAGGAGACAGAAGCAGACATAGAAAAAGAAGCATAGATACAAAAGGTAACTGTCAACCAGCTCCATAGGCGGCCCCGTCCAGGAAACGCACAGCCAGGCAGACGAGCTCCGAGCCAGCTCCCATGCCAGAGGATGAAGAGAGCACATTCTACCACCTGGATGTTTTTCTCTGTAAAGCGTTCCGTTCTAGATGCTGCTTTCTGTTTTGAATCAACGTCTTGTTGGAAGATAAATCTCCGTCCTAGTCTCTGGTCTTCTGCCAACTCCAACAGGTTTTCCTCCATGATGTCCCCAGCCCGTGACATCATCAATGAACCCTCACGCACCTTTATTCTACATATCACTGAATACATCAGCACCTCAATCAATAACATCTGTTTTCAGCAGATCTACCTCCCAGACCACTCAGGTCTTCTAGTTCCAGCCTCCTCTGTCCACCCAGAACTAAAACCAAACATGGAGAAGCAGCTTCTAAGCTGTACTGATCTGGATCAAACTCCCAGCAGACTGGAAAAGAGCCGAAAGCCTGAGATTTTTGAGGTCAGGGTTTAAAACCTGTTAGTTTAGAGCTGCCTTGGACTGATGGAGATAAACCGCTAACTGAGGAATTATTAGGCTAATGTTTCAGTGACTACTGGAGAAATGTCCCAGCCCCACTGTGACCCTAAGGGTGAAGTGGGAGAGGATTAATTAATTTGCATTACTTTTACTAATTTATTTATCCTGTAAATTCACAGCAAATTATTTTCAGACTGCCCCCTGTGGAGGTGGAGGGCCTTATTGTAATGATTTATAGCAAAATGCTGCAATTCTCCTGTCATGTATTATAACATAACAGATACTAAATTACAGTAGATTGCTGTGAGTGCATTTGACAGCATTTTGCTGCAATCATTACTGTCAAAGTCATAGAATTATTGTAAATTTACAGTGAAAAATGCTACGGTTTATGTATGTTAACTGGTTTAAATGTTGTTATATTTTTTTGTTCTTAGATGGATAGGCAGCTTTCTAACTCAGAGTTTCCCTGAATATTGGCAAAGCATACAAATGTGAGAGAATGGACATCAGATGTAATTACACCCCCTCCCTTTTCTGTTGTTTATTGGCTTCCATTTTTCTTATCCTGGCTGTGCTCTTAAGCTCCACTTATCTTACTGAGATGCACTGGACTGCAGTGACAACGCTTCGCCACCAGGGGGCACATGGAGCACGGTGAGCAGCACTCCTGACTCAGCGAGCCAACGGCAGTTAAGCGTAGCAACGGCTGGTCAGTGAAGGCGCTCACTGTCGCTCTCATGTTTCCACAGGTAAATGTCAATTAGCGCTGCTGTTTATGTCTCTTGTGGAGAAGGTGGGCTAGGGCGGACTAGCGAGGTATATATGTGGAAGTGTGTAGTTAATTATTTGACTTGTATTGTAAATATTTGTTCTTTGACTTATGTCGTAAATATTTATTTGTGAGCGAGCCAACGGCAGTTAAGCGTAGCAACGGCTGGTCAGTGAAGGCGCTCACTGTCGCTCTCATGTTTCCACAGCAATTGTCAAAATAAAAGAACCTGCGCAACACCACACTGATTATTTATTAAGTGTGCAACACAAACATTTCCACTAAATCAATTAAACATGGACGTCATCTTATTACAAACAGTATCAACAACCATATGTGTTGGTTTCATCCATTTTTAAGTGATTTTATAACTTTAAACAATGCAACATATTTTTTTTTATTACGTTTAATTTCTGTTGAGGAATTGAAGACTCCATGGTTGATCAAAAGGACCAAAACTTTGGTAACCAGCGTTCTAGCTCACCGTGGGTTTCGATTCTTTGGTTTAGCTCGATTGGAATTCAGAAAAACACAAAAAGAATGTTAAGAAAAAAGGTTTTAGAGTAATAGTCATTTAAAGTTGAGACAAAAGAGAAAATAAAAGAAGAAGTTGCTGATCTTATTTTAATCCATATTGCCTCCAAATAGGCTTTATTTACCTTTATGTTGCACATAAAAATACACATTTGTGATGAAAATATTAGAAAGAAGGAAAGACCTTTATATGTTTTCCAATCCACCCTAAATGAACTCAGTCGGCAGTGAACACTGCTTTTTATCTGTTGGTACAATAAAATCACGCTTCTCCGATCTCCACAATATTTAATGCGTAAGTATGTAAGTTTAGCTTTGAAAATGACAACAAAAAAAAGACTTAAATCAACAAGAAAGGCCTTTTTTTGATGTAATGTCAAGAAACTAGCCAACGTTCAATTCAATAAATCAGACAGCGGTGACATCTAGTGGACATCAGAGGTGCAGCAGTCATGTTTTAATAGGTGGGAATATTTATCCTCACTCCTTTATTTATTTATCTATTTTCTATAGACCTACATTTTACTATCTATCTGTCACCGCACCCAAAAGTATGACAGCAATATAAAAAAAAATCATGTTGTCCTTTAGCTCAGCTTTTTATAAAGTAGATATTATCTTTGTCTGAATCTCTTATTTTCCCTCCATCCAGGTAATTAAAACATAATCTTTGTGTGTTTTTTCTTTAATGAAGCTGCTTTATTTATCTATCCCTGTTTGATCTGCTGCTCCTACACAGATTTAATTAGTCATTATTCATCCATTAATGATATAATTATCAGGATGATCGTATTAATTTACAAACTGAATATACGATGGAATATTTGGTACATTAAATAAAAGACAAATATATAATTTGCAGCAAAGCCGAAGATTCATGTAAAATGAGAAGGAAAAGTAATTTTAAAGATTTATTTTACATAATTACAGGAAGAACTTTGATATTCCTTCACATGTAGTTAGAAATTTGCAACAAAACGTATCAAACATGAGTTTAAAGTTTGATAGAATAACCTTTCTATGATACAAACTAAACAAATGCAATTCCTTATCTGTATAAACCTCTAATAACTGTTTATTAAGTTATAACTATAGAGCAGAAAAGTTTAGCTCTGTTTAGCAGCACTGGGGAACTAAAACATGAAAAATACAACTTGGAAGCGTTTTTAAATTGAAAATAAATAGTAAAAATACAGTTCTTTTAAATAATTCAATAGAATTTAGATTTGACAATTATGTTTGTCTGTCTGTAGGTGTTTGGTTTTTTATTTTATTTTGATTGGTTATTTGCTTGTTTTATTGTTTTTATGGTGTTTCAATACTTTATTAAAGGAAAAATTATCAGGATTAATTCCAGCAAAACTCTTTGAACAGTGAGAAATCAGCAGCTGTGTTTCCACGGTGGTGGCGGTATCATGCTGTGGGGAGGAGGAGCAGGAGGCATCTGATTTGTAAAACAACAGTAAACATGAGCAGCTTAGTGTTGTTTAGTTAGTCTTGCTGTGAAGCTTCCTCTGCTCTCAGCCTAATTAAAGCCCGGAGCTTCATTCTGCTGTTAAATAAAAACGCCTTTGATTTCAGCTCTGATTTAATAAAAGCTGCTTCAGCCTTTATGGTCTGCAGTCGGTCTGCAGTCAGTCTGCAGAGCGATCTGCCGCGATTTCCTGCCGCGGGTTTCCCTTTAACAGGAGGGGAGGGGGTTTAAGGCTGGTTTCTGGGAATCTACGTCACTTCACCGCTTTACACAGATCAATGAGAGAGAGACACCCGGAGGAGGAGAGAGAGGAGGGGGGGGAGTCTCTCTCTCTCTCTCTTCCAGGAAGGGATTATTAACCGTTTCGCTGCCGACATGTGAAGGAAAAGAGTCTGAGAGCAGAGAGAGAAGTTTCCCCCCCAGCAGCTGAAATGGACCGACCCGCAGCGGCGGCTACATGAAAGGAGCCAGAGGAGGGGGGGTCCAGGCAGAAG